TCTTTATACTCACAGTGTTCTACATTATGAGCATAGGTTTGTTATTTGAGGAAGCGAGAGCCAAAGATTAAGTATCCTGAGATTTCCCCCTGCCACCTCTTTCTCTCTCTCCTTTCAACCTCTATGAATGCTATAAATAATGAATCTAAAGCAAGAACAATGCTGGGAGCAAGTAGCCACTCGGGATATTATTTAATTCATGTTTTTAGAGATTTAAAACGTAAGGATAACTAATAAATATATTTGAGGTGTTTAATGCATAGCTATATTGTATATATAATATACAACCTTGTATACATGGAGTTTGAGAAACATTTTCAGTATAGTCGAAAGAAATTGGATAGACCTTTGAGATAGCTAACAGGTGTTAAAATATCAGTTCTACTGTTAAGTAGTTTCGCAAACTTGGAAGACATTTTGCTCCTCTGAGGTTCAATGGCTTTATAGAAAAAGTTTTTAAGAAAATATAAAAATCTTAAAGAGTTATTATAAATATTATATGAGAGTAACATAAACAGTATTTGGAATATAGTAAATTCTTAGTGAACATTACTCAGTTAAAGCTTCAGAAATGAACTGCTAAAACATTTCCTGAAAAATGCCTTCAAATGCCGAAATATATTTCAAAATACTAGTTTACATGATTTTAGTATGTAAATTTGTGTCAGTGGGTCTTCTTTCCCTGGGACTGCCAGTTTGCTCTTGACATCACTGGATAGGTTAAGAGGAATTAAAAGTTTGGATGGAGGAGTTGGATACATCTTTTTCTTAAAGTAACATTTGTTGGGTCATGTTGCATAATGATTCCAAGTATTTTCAAAAATTGTATGTATTTTTTTATACTTCTCATACCTATGTCAGGGGTGTGTATGATTCCGCCCTAACAGATGAAGCAGAAGGTGCAAGACAACTCAGTTTTAAGAAAAGCTCTGCTCCTCTTCAAGATCTGATATGCCATTTTAAAACTTATGATAATAAGAACAACTGATTTCAATTCTTCTTCCCAAGTTTAAGAAAAGTGTAGAGTGATGACCTCATAACCTCCAAGTCCTGGCTGACTGTATTCAGGTGAAAACAGACACTCGTGGTAAATGTCCTCTAACCCAGGATCTGTCTTTTCTTGAGGCCTAAGTCTGTATAATTGACTTGATGTGATGCTTCTGGGCAAACAGTGAGGCTCCATGGCTATGTCTGGAGATTGGGGCTTTGCACCACTAAGTTTCAGAGGAGTTTCATATCTTCTTGACAACGTAACTATATGTGGTTAAATATTAACTAAAAGATACATCACATTTTTAAAATTATTATTCTCCATGAGGTAGATTGGTTTTGATATATACATATTAGCTTCCTGTCTAAATAATTAAATGTATAATTCCCTCACTTCATTGAAAGTGGAACTGGATTGAGGATTGCTAAATAAAACATGCTGAAATGAGAGGACCAGTATCACTTATCATCTCTATGGTTATGTTAGTGAGTTTATATGTTGGAAATATCTGGTTCTCTTTGATCACTCTCTGTAGGGAGGGTTCTTCAGTTATCAGGATGGAGGAGTCATTAAATCCTCCCTAATCACTTCCATGATGCTGTCTCTTCTCCGGAGAAGCTGAGTGGCAAGCTCTTAGATTGATCTGTCTGCTGACTGCTTTGTAAGCGGCCACCTGGAGGGCTGGTCACAGGCTCATGTAGGAATCCATCTACTGCCAAGTGCAAGAAAAGGGAATCACCTCTAAAGATTCTCAAGTGCTAATGTAGAGGAATAGAGGGGGGAAAGAAAGGTTTATTTTTAATATTAATAGGTGTAAACCTGAAAAGCTACTGTGACCTACTATAATCAAGTAGCCTTCAAGGTGTAAGGAGTTTGGAATGATGTAGTATCTAGTGTTTTGGGGACATTATTTAAAATTTGTCTATAGATATTTCAGGGTCACATGTCCTTTGCTTATCTCATGCATTTGAAAAAAAAGAATGAATTGCCATAATATCTCTTGGCCCAGTGATTTTTGCTGGACTCTAGTTTCTTAAATATAATAATTGAAAGGTAAGGAAGTTTATGTAACTGTGAGGTGTAATACTTTTTAAAGGAACAGAAAGATTTTGTATGGAATACTATCAGGGAAAAAAAGGAATAATCACTGTCAGAGACACAGCTACAACATTGATCATAGAGCTGGGGAAGATCACAAGAAACCAGGCTTAATTCCTACCTTGCCTACAGTGCAACTGTGACCACTTTAACAAGTCATTTGACCCGCTAAGACCAGTGCTGTCCAACCTAACTTCCAGCAACAAAATCAAGCTTTAGATGCAGTTTGCTTATGGAAAAATAGGAAAAAAAAAAAAACAAAAACCTTCTCATAAAAATTTCTTTTATACTTAAATAAGATAATATACATCTTAACATATTTAGAATGAAAATACACTAAACATAAAGGCCAAGATAGTGGAGATGTTCTTGTAGTGGGGCAAATCTGTAACTATAGGACATAGCATCTTGCCAGTTAATAAAAATTAACATCTATCATTGGTTACCCTTTTCTTCTGGTGGCAGCCCCCTGGATTTTTCATTCATGCTTTTCCATGAACAAGGAGTGTTATATGATCCAAACCCTGATCATCTACAGCTGGAGTTTGAATTTAGGGAAGAAAGGTCCAGAAAGGAACATAGTTGGAAGGATCTCATTCCAATGGAGCATTCCAGAAGAAACTATCCGTTTATGCCCACTGCCTGTTTCCCTGGACCATCACTGGTTGCTGTCCTTCCTGAGGCCTCGTGACTCAGTTTTTCCTTTGATTCTTCAAGAGTCCCTAGATTCTCCATAAATTCCCCTCTTTGATTAGCAGAGTCAGTTTCTGCCAAACACCCTGGGCTAAAAACTGCACTTTTTTTTTTCAACTTTTTTGTTTTTTAAGTTTATTTATTCTCGAGAGATAGAGAGGAGGAGACACAGAATCTGAAGCAGGCTCCAGGCTTCGAGCTGTCAGCACAGAGCCCGACACGGGACTTGAACTCACGAACTTCAAGACCACGACCTGAGCCAAAGCCGGAGGCTTAACCGACTGAGCCACCCAGGCGCCTCGTAAAAACTGCACTTCTAATCCCCACAAACTCTTTTGATTTGGACACAACTCCTGTCCTGATATCTATTTCAATACTTTGGACAGATTGTTAAGCTAACTGGGAGATAAACAGTCACTCACGTTTTGTTTGGTATCTACTCGCAGGTTTTCTGATCTGTTGGTCTATGGTGTCTAGTAAGGTAGCCACGTGCTAGTCACATGTAACTACTTACATTTAAATAGAAATTAAAGTTGCTTATTTGCACTAGCCAACTTTCAAGTGCTCAAGAGCTACATATGATCAGTGGCTCCTGTATTGGACAGCACAGAATTAGAATATTTCCATCATCTCAGCAAGTTCTGTTGAACAGCAATTGGTCCAAGGCCTTTCCAAAACACTTGTTCAAAAATAGACTAAAGGTTGAGATACTTTCTTTTTGAAGGTTGTTGAATAAAGACAAAATGAAGTTTGCAGTAAAAAAAAAAGAATTATTTGAAGAATGGAGATTAAATATGTCTTGCATAAGAATAAAACTAAGTTAAAAAATTATGATGAGGATAATTACAATGCTTTGAGAAAGAGTGCATATGGAGACTAATAGACATTCAGTATCTTAATTTTTCCTTTGATGATTAAGAGATCCTTTCCCACAGTGCTCTTCCTTTAGGACATTGAGGAATTAAATTATAGTGTTAGTTTCCTAAGTAATTTCAGGGGCTCTCTACTCATTCTCACTCATTTTAGAGCTAAGAGCATTGTCCAGAATACAGAGGTCACTTTCTAGCTCACACAGCTCAACTACCTGCAGAAACAACATGAGAACAACACACATCTCCTGAAGTCTTAATCTGAATAGTTGTTCTCTGTTGGACAAGGTATATTCAGGACATCTACCTCAAAATCTTTTCTTGAGTATTATCTCAACCAAAGATATTCAAATTAGAGCCTTCTGGAATTCAGCCTTTCCTGCCTCCAATGAAATGGGTAATTGTGTAACTGCCATTTAACATGTATCCGGATTTCTCTAAAGGCCAGAGACAGGGAAGTCAGCCCCCTAGAGTTAATAACTACCACTGACCCTGAACCGTCTGAATCTCCTCCTCTGAAATTTCAAGTCCCTATCCACTTTCCCAAGCATTTGAGGAAATTAAGTCATCTTTTGCAGGTGTATTTGTTCAGGTAAATGTCTTCAGAGCTAAAATAATGGATTGCAGAAGATGGAAAAATAACTATATTGGTAGAATTCTTTATGATGTATATTATAAGCAGGAACCAGAGAGAGCATTAACTATTTTATAGGAAAGGTTGTGGGTGAGGAAGAGCAAAATTGTCAAGTGTATAAACCTGCATTTAATTAGGTCAGTTTCTAAGAGTCACATTCATACGTATGTAAGTAAATATATATTTTTGTCCTTCAGGCCTAAATCTGCCAGGTCTTCAGTTCCGGGACTGACTCAGGACAGTCTTTAAGTTTTACATTTCCTTAAGTGGTTTAGTATGGGCTTGGCCAAAATCTCCCTGCCTGCCTGCCAAGGCTCCCTGTCTGTTACACATTTGATGGCTTCCTTCTGGGGCTTGCTAACTTCTGCTGTCTGACAAATGAATTAACAACAGGATATCATCAGAGTGATTCCTAGATAATTAATGTCCATTTGACATTTCAGGGAGTTTATGCATTGAAAGACATTTGCTTCTAATGTATACTTCTATCCTCAGCTGTGCTTGGAATTTTTTTCAGCTCCTTTTTACAACGCTTTTGGAATAATACTCAGGTTTCCTCTCCCAGGCTAAATCAAATTTCATGTACTTTGCTTACCTTCTTTCACGATTCCTTGTCTCCTTTCCCAATGCTCTCATTGATTCTAAACTGGGTCATTACTGGCCTTTAAGACCTACTGCTCCACTCAATTTTATATGTTTTTTTTTTTTTTTTAACTTTTTCCTGAGCAGGTTAAACCAGTGCTCTGTGCTTGAGATGGTCGGCAGTACTACACTCAGAGTGGAAGTCATTCCCTCTAGGAGACTGGAGATCTCAATTTTCAGAGAAAATCAGAATACAGGGAGAGTTTACTTTCTGAGAAATGGTAGAACCAAACTGAAAGTATTTTTTTTTATAAAGGTTTTTCTGATTCTGTTTACCACCTTTTCAGAACAGAAGCCGGGTAAGGTAATGCTTAAATTTGGTGTAACAAAAACTTATTTCCATACCCATCCTCTTTAATTCACCTGTAAACATGTTGTTTTCCAAACAAATGTAGATATTTATATCTACATTTCGGGTCCCAAGCCTGGATTTTGAGAGGTCTTTTGCTAATTTTCCTTAGCATCTCTTACATAGTCTTAGATACATCAGTCTATTTCCTGAAAATAAGGCTTTTCTTGCAAGTCCTTGAACTATACTATACATAGGAGAGGGGTAGACAGTGACAGTTACAAGCCCAGAATATTGATTCAGATTGCTTGGATCCTAATCTCCACTGTTACTTACTTATCTCTCCACTTCAGTTTTCTCATCTGTAAAATAGACATAATAAGAGAACCTCCTTTATAGGATGTTATGATTAGAAACATTAAATATTTTATTATAAAACTTAATGATAGTTTATTATCATAAATGTGAAGTCTGTCTTTAGTAGCCTTGTCCAATAACTGATGCAAGTGTTTTTTGTCTTCTAGGAAGCCTAGAGCATTCGAAGTCCACTTACAATTAATATTTCCCTCTTTGAAGACAAGATGAATTAGGTGATGTATGTGTTCCTAGAAGTTTAAACTCATGACTGTATGCAAAGCTATTCTTCTTAGTATTCCTTAGGATACTAGCTGAGCAGCTAAATCAAAGGCCCAGACAAAAGTGGTTAAAAAAGTGGTTAAAAAGTGTTTCCCTCTCCTGTAACATTCCAACCTTAAGTAGTCCCGGTTTGATACGGTCATGCGATTCAGCTTTCACAAGCAGGAGCACATTTTAGCTGCAGAAATAAGAGAAAAGGACAGGGGAAGACCTACCCCTTTTCCTTAAGAGCATAAACTGAATGTTGAACTCATCATTTCTGTTCATATACCTTTAGTTAGAACTCATTTACGTTGCCTTGCCACATCTATGCACAAAGGTTGAAAGGTGTCTTTAGCTGGCAGGCCATGCTAAATCCACATGCCCTCTAAAATTGAGGGGTTCTATTACTAAAGCTAGAACAACGGATATATATGCACAACTAGTTCTGCCTTCCACAGTCCACTCTTCTTATACCTATTATTACTTAATCCTCCCCAAAGGAGTCAAACTTCCATTTAATTATTGCTTTCATTGCAAGGTCCAAGGTGCTTAGGCTTGATAAAATACTTTCCTTCAGTTATGTGTATGGCCATTCTTTGTTTAGCACTCTAAAAGCTAAAATGAAAGTATTTTACTTCTATCTCAATCCCTACTATTCCCAATATAGAATGACGGAGAATGGAGTGAGCACAGAATATCTACAACAAACACTTCTCTTTGGAGAAGACTTGGAATGGGGAACACAAAGTAGGTATTCTTCATAACAGTTATTAAGTCTTGCCAGGCAAGGACTATCAACATTCTCAGTCTCCCCATGGATTAAGTTTCTGGTTTAGCACATCCAGTAGTTGTTACTTGGCAGTCTATTTCTTCTGTGGGTCAGGGCTTTTCCTCTTAGAAGCTTTCCCTTTTATTTTAGCCATAATGTGCACTTCTGAAATGGCCATTGGGTAGAATTCCCCTCTGGAGGACTATGCAGCCTTGGGGTTGTCTGAGGTATTAAATAGCCGCAGGCTTTGAAGGTCAGACTAGTGGTTGCTTTAACAGTGAAACACCCTCAAAAAACCTGGAAAACTTCTGGTCTGTTTGCTTTTAGTCAAATTTCTATATGCCAGAAAGATGGTCAACTATATGAAGTCAGTATACATGTTTCTATACTTGAGAATTTTCTCCTTTATGTCCTAGCCTCAACGATCTGGCCATCTCCATCTTTTTTTGACTTGTTGGAGGATCCATGAAATCCTATTGAAATAAAGCTTAGATGACATCTTCAGTTGGATTCCTAGGAAATAAAACCTGAGACAAGTGTTCATGTGAAAATCACTCAATAGTAAGTATTATCAAGGAAAGCCAGTAAAAGAGTAGGAAAGTGGGACAGGATACCAAGGATGGCAAGCAATATGAGTGGAAGGTAATAGTACCTCGGTTGCCCCCAGGGGAGGACACAGCAGTGGATATCACACCTTTAATATTTCTAATCAAGTCACAATGAAGCTGGAGTGTTTATACTTCTGCATTCATTGGTCATTGCTTTGGGTAAATGAAAGAATTTATAGGCACTTCTGGATTTCTCCATTTGAGGCATAACAATTCCGGCAGGCCAAGGGCAGCATGCCATAAAAGGATGCAGATGTTGGCTGCAGGGAGGGGAAGCAGTCCTGGAGTTGGTGTGCACTAAAAAGGTAAGGAGATCACAGTGAATATTGGCACAGCAGTACTACATGGCGGCATGATTCACTAAGAAGGCCAGTGTGGTCTACCAAGCTCGATACGGTTTTAATTTGCATTTTCTTATTAATGAGTTTTTTTCACATGTTTAGCAGTGCTTTTTATTTCCTTTTCTATCAAATGACTAATAGATCTTCAGGCAATTTTAATTTTCCTTAGTTTTTTTTTCTTCTAGATGTCCAGAAACTCTAATTAGGGAGATTGGTCAATTTTCTATGGTGTGAGTTACAGATATTTCACCTTTTTCGAACAATTATTTCTTTAAAAAAAAATGGGCTATGTTGACATTTTACTGGTAAGAGTTACTGCGATTGTTTGCATTTTTGAGGTATTTTGTGTGGTGCTGTGGGAGTACACTTTTCATGATCAATTATTGCATTAATTGGATTTTTCTGAACTTGAGACTTTCCCGTGATACTCGGTTTTGATTTTTAAATGATCCATAGTGATGTTTTTCTGGTTAATATTCTTCATTTGTGTTATTATGATGGTCTTGTGCGTATTTTTAACTATCTCTGCTGATGCTGTGTCAAACTCCTTTTGATTATTGTTTCCTGAAGTCTCCTGGAGTGTGGGGAGATGGCAGGAGGCTGCCAGAAACAACACAACTGAAAACCTTTTTCTACTCTGCTGCCAAAGATTCAGACTGCTTCCCACAAATACAGCTTTTCTGTGTGATTCCTTGAGCCCATGTTGACAAATGGAAAACATGGCATTTGTATTTCAAAGAAATCTCCTTCCAAAAGGAACAATTTGCTCCCCTGCTCCCAGTACTTTCTAAGATCTGTGGTTGCTTGGTCCTTGTGCCATTACTGTGCTTTATCTCTTTACCTGTTTTGTGTAATTGACCGCTTCCTCAGCTGCCTTTATATTCCTAAGTTGAAGTTTATAGGGATTTTTCTTTTTTCCCCTTTTTGCATGTGTTTACTTTAGGTTTGGTGCTTATCGCCACAAATGTATTTAAAATAGAAGTTTTAGTCTTAGGGAAAATAATCTTGCCGAGAACTCTTATAAGTAGACAGCAACCACATTTCTGCAGAGATAGGAAAGAGTTACAAAGATAGTTTTGAAAGAGCATGAAACACACTATTGGAAAGAGTAAGGGCTTTGGAACTCAACAGGCTTGCATTGATACGGTGCTCATCCACTTACTAGTTAAATGATCAGAGAGGCAAATTACAACATTCTAAACTTGTTTCCCTCTTTTGTATAATAACATTAATATTTTCTTAAGAAAATATTAAATATTTAAGAATTATTTTGTTAATAGGATTAACTACAATATATTTTAAGTCATCCAGCCATATGTGTTGATTGATTTTTAATTACATTCAAAAATAGTTAATATAGGCAGAGTACTAGACAGAAAAATGGCTGGAAATAGTTTTAAATTATCTAATAGGTAGAAAAACTAATATAGACAGTTAAAATTTGTGAAGGGACTTTTGTTTATTGATTTTGAAAAATGTTGAAACTTACTTTCACTTAAAATATAGAGGTTGATGGTTAATTTTATGTGTCACCTTGGCTAGGCTAGATACCCCCTTGTTGAATCAAATACCAGTCTAGATGCTGCTGTGATGGTATTTAAAAAATTTTTTTTTCAACGTTTATTTATTTTTGGGACAGAGAGACACAGAGCATGAACGGGAGAGGGTCAGAGAGAGAGGGAGACACAGAATCGGAAACTGGCTCCAGGCTCTGAGCCATCCGCCCAGAGCCCGACGCGGGGCTCGAACTCCCGGACCGCGAGATCGTGACCTGGCTGAAGTCGGACGCTTAACCGACTGCGCCACCCGGGCGCCCCTGTGATGGTATTTTTTAAATGTGATTAACAATCAGTAGACTTTTGGGAGGATAATCTGTTTTACTCGCTGTCTATGGGCTACATCCAATCAGTTGAGGGCCCTAAGAGCAAAGCTTCATGTCCCCAAAGAAGGAGGAATTCTGCCAGAGTTTCTAAATTTCAAGCTCAAGATCGTAACATTGTAGAAGAGGAAAAAACTTTTTCCCTTTACCCTAAATTCTTTGCTGAGGCCTCCTTCTAATAAAAAAAAAAGTGATTAGTAGGAGAAAAACAGAAGTTTAGTAACATGCATACCTCCTGTGTATATGTGAGATACCAGGTACCTCCCTGAAATGGCCCAAGCTACCACCTTAAATACCATCATCAGCTAAAGACAAAGGAAGCTGGGGTGGGGGGAGCCATTTTGGGGAAGTTATCAGGTAAAACACGATAAATAAGAATAGGGTTGTTATGCAGATTTAAGTCTTTGCCTTCTTCAGTGGTGATGATTTCTGGAGATCTCCTGGTATAGAGACAGACACACTTAGAAATGAAGAATTCCCTGGCACAAAAACAGACACATAGACCAATGGAATAGAATAGAAACCCCAGAACTAGACCCACAAACGTATGGCCAACTCATCTTTGACAAAGCAGGAAAGAACATCCAATGGAAAAAAGACAGTCTCTTTAACAAATGGTGCTGGGAGAACTGGACAGCAACATGCAGAAGGTTGAAACTAGACCACTTTCTCACACCATTCACAAAAATAAACTCAAAATGGATAAAGGACCTGAATGTGAGACAGGAAACCATCAAAACCCTAGAGGAGAAAGCAGGAAAAGACCTCTCTGACCTCAGCCGTAGCAATCTCTTACTCGACACGTCCCCAAAGGCAAGGGAATTAAAAGCAAAAGTGAATTACTGGGACCTTATGAAGATCAAAAGCTTCTGCACAGCAAAGGAAACAACCAACAAAACGAAAAGGCAACCAACGGAATGGGAAAAGATATTTGCAAATGACATATCGGACAAAGGGCTAGTATCCAAAATCTATAAAGAGCTCACCAAACTCCACACCCGAAAAGCAAATAACCCAGTGAAGAAATGGGCAGAAAACATGAATAGACACTTCTCTAAAGAAGACATCCGGATGGCCAACAGGCACATGAAAAGATGTTCAGCGTCGCTCCTTATCAGGGAAATACAAATCAAAACCACACTCAGATTCACCTCACGCCAGTCAGAGTGGCCAAAATGAACAAATCAGGAGACTATAGATGCTGGAGAGGATGTGGAGAAACCGGAACCCTCTTGCACTGTTGGTGGGAATGCAAATTGGTGCAGCCGCTCTGGAAAGCAGTGTGGAGGTTCCTCAGAAAATTCAAAATAGACCTACCCTATGACCCAGCAATAGTACTGCTAGGAATTTATCCAAGGGACACAGGAGTACTGATGCATAGGGGCACTTGTACCCCAATGTTCATAGCAGCACTCTCAACAATAGCCAAATTATGGAAAGAGCCTAAATGTCCATCAACTGATGAATGGATAAAGAAATTGTGGTTTATATACACTATGGAATACTACGTGGCAATGAGAAAAAATGAAATATGGCCTTTTGTAGCAACGTGGATGGAACTGGAGAGTGTGATGCTAAGTGAAATAAGCCATACAGAGAAAGACAGATACATATGGTTTCACTCTTATGTGGATCCTGAGAAACTTAACAGGAACCCATGGGGGAGGGGAAGGAAAAAAAAAAAAAAAGAGGTTAGAGTGGGAGAGAGCCAAAGCCTAAGAGACTGTTGAGAACTGAGAGCAAACTGAGGGTTGATGGGGGGTGGGAGGGAGGAGAGGGTGGGTGATGGGTATTGAGGAGGGCACCTTTTGGGATGAGCACTGGGTGTTGTATGGAAACCAATTTGACAATAAATTTCATATATAAATAAAAAAAATATATATATATATATAAAAAAAAGAAATGAAGAATTCCCTCATACATCTAAATGTCTCCTACAAAAAGTTGATTTCTACTTTGTTTTCAGAGCATTTACTATGTCTGCTGTATTGTAATTATCAGCTCAAAATAATTCTTACGCCACAGAGGCATATTTTTGGGTCATAGATTTGGCTCCCCTTCAGTCCCACCTTTGAACCCTGAAGTAAGAGGATTCACAATCATTTCTTCCTATCTCATCAAACTCCAGTTAAACAGTAGTGTCCTTGCACTTTC